GTAGCAGACAAAACACTTAGCTAGGGATGCACACACACCATCCAGAAGACCAAAGAACATGAATAGAAGGCCCAGGACACTGTGGGTAGAGACCACCCACTGGCAAACTAAAGGGTAGGGGTGGCCTTTTACTTAACAAAAGAACTCAAGGAGCACACAGAGATCGCAGAGGCTGGACATAGCAGAGACCAGCAGCTGCCTCTGAAGCAAGGTGAGCGACAAGGCTCACAGTTGGTGACATCTGGCTACAACCTAGGAGGAAGGGGGACACCTGGTAAGGCTGCTGAACTTCCTACAATGCTGAGGGCGGCCCCTGTGACAAACTATCTTGCCCCAAGCATGCATTGTGTGGGGCTGGAACTCTGAAGTAGGACAACCACTGCCCCAAGTACCCTGGGCCACCAAACCCAAACAGGAACCTAGTGACTCTGTCCCAGCCCTCCCAGTCACCCCTCCTTCCTGGAAACTGCAGGTCTGGACAGAACTAGGCATCCAGGAGAAGTGCCCCAGAAAGACTGCTGCTCCATGGGGTGCTCTTGCACAGGAGCAGAAGGGACAGGGCAGCAAGCAGACAGCCCCATGAGGACAGGCTGGGCCATGAGTGATTGGTCACCACCTGGTGGCCAGCCAGCCACCCTCAGCTGCTTCTTTCTGATGGTAGGTCTCAGTAAGACATGGGAGCTCCTGGAACTCTGCTGGCCTGGGAAAGCCTTTTAAATGGACGCCCACGAGTGAGACTCCATAATACAGGGTTTATATTTTCCAGATCCAGCCCTGATGAATCATAGCCATCTACATTCCCGCATACTGAGAAAGCCAATCTGTGTAAAGTGACACACATGCCACACACACAAACACACACATGCCAGCACACACACACTACGGGTATGACTGAGTGCAAAATGCCAGTGTCTCATTCGGTGCAACAGGAAAGAAGCAGAACCACCCACCTGATGAAGGAAATTAAGACTGATTTTCTGGGACTTGGTTTACAAAGCAGGTGTGTGTGTGTGTGTGTGCGTGCGTGCGTGCGTGCTTGTGTGTGTGTGTTCTAAACAAAGCTATACATTCCTGGCACCTCCACACCTGGAGTTAATCTTGAAGATCAGGCACAGGGCCAAGGGTCAGGGAGTCTACAACTTTAAAGAACAAAGTCAAGTTCCAGTCAGGGTCAGGAGTGAGCTCACATCAAGGCACTCAGGGTAAATGAACAGGCAGGAGAGCTCTCTGCCAGCCCAGAACCCACTCAGAGAAGGTCATTCTGCATCAAGGACCTGACCAGGAAGAAATCCAAGACTACCATAGTGGAGCAAAGACCTCAGCAGCAAGAATCAACTACTGCTGAACGGAAAGGATCTCTGAGGTCACACGTCTGACTCCCAGATGCCAGGGCATATCCATAGGCATACCAACCTGTGTAACAGCTACTCTAGCACACTACACAGAGGCAGGTGTAGAGGCCTCAAAGTGGCAGGAGTCACCCTCAACTTGTCTTCTTCCTGGGAGGCAGAGCTGCCCACCTCTGCCCAGACAATCTCAGCACCCCACCTCCTTGCCTCTGGATGACAGCCAGGGCAGCAGCTTCACCTACTCAGACCCTAAAACTGGAATCTTCCCCAAGTGATTCCCTCTGCCCAAAGACCTGAGAACCATGAGCAGCAGCAATGAGAAATAATAACAAACGGTTGTGTGTGCGTCCCCCCTCAACCCCATCTCTTCCTCCTCAGGTCCAGAGAGGAGCCCACCCCACCAAGAGCTAGACAGACACTGTAAAACCACCAGCTCACAGGACCCGTACCTGGCCCCAGTAGGCTCGCGCTCACACACACACACACACACACACACACACACACACACGTACCACAGCAGTTTCATTCTTACTCTTGCTGGAGGGCCAGGATAGAGCCCATATTTGTACACTGTTAATCAGTCACAATCTGTTCCCACTGTGTTTGAGAGCCCAGAGACAGCCACAACTTCTAAACAGAGAACTGTATTTTCCTTAAGGTTTATCTGTGTCCACCTGCTTTCTTGGAATTCCACTGCAGCACCACAGCTGGATGGAGAGCCAGCAAGACTTTCCAAAATGCAGACTATTAACGGCCTTCAAAGTTCCCAGCTCAAGCCCCAAAGGAACCAATCAGATCAGTCTCAGAGGTGCAATGAGGAATAAAAACAACCAATTTCCAGAAGCCAGAGCAACATTCAGGGTTCCTGCTTCCTCCATTTTCAGAGGTTGTGTAGTTTTTCTTTATCCATTTTTTAAGTTATCAGTTATTCAGTAATACTATTTGCCAGCACCTACTAACAGCATTTAATCCTCAGAAAAAGGCCATAGCACAAGAATGTTTATTGTACTGTAAAGATGAAAAAACTGAGGCTCAGAGAAATGTGGTAAATTAGTGAAAGTAATAAACAAAGACGGAAAGATAGCTCCCTCCCTTGGATGTCTACCTCTCACTCAAAACCGTTACTGGTTCCCTAGTCAGCATAGCAACTGAAGCCCTCTACAATTTAGTCCCAAATTCCTTCTCCAATTTTATCCTAGTGTCTCTTACAGAGAATCACACTGCCCTGAGGTCCCCCACCGCCTCCTGCAAGAGCCTGCTCACAGCCCTACCCTGGGACCCTAGGACTCCTACGAGAGTGACGCCAGCCTCTGCGCTACACACCAATGATGCAGGGGCACAGACAGGGTGTGGGCTCCACACTCTCCAAGCAGTGCCAACTACTCTCCCACAGGAAAACCCTTCCTTTCCATCCCAGACAGCCACACTTCACCCAAAGGCAGCTTCACTTCAACAGAAAATCCCTTCCTCTTCTGGCAGCAACATCCACTGCCAACAGATCAGGGCTCCAAGGAGACTTAACATGATTAAAATGTTAAAGCATTTAAGATGCTCAAAGGAAAGCCATCCTTGAAGTGCAAATCATCATCGATTTACAGGGAAAGAGGCACATAAGGGGGGATACCTGTACAAATGTAAATGAAGTTTTCAGCAATATTAACCATAAATTGCTTTAACATACACATCCTGAGCCCCAGCACTGAGTCCAGAGTTTGTGGCAAATGCCCGCGGTGGGTTTTCAGCACTTGTTCCTGCTTGGTTTATTAAATCTGCAATCCAAGGAGAGCCGACTTTCTGGGTTTTGCCAAATGGGAGAATAACAGTTCTGCAATGAGTTATTTAACAGGCAGGGCACACAGTGAAGGGCCAGGCTGCGCTGCTGAAACAGCAGAAATCCTACCAAGATTCCTCAGACAATCCCCAAAGCATAGTCCGAAGCCTGATACCCTGTGAAAAAACCAGGACTTGAAGAAATGCACTGAACATGAAGTGAGCCTTGACCTGAGCAAGAGAAGAAACATTAAGTCCACAAACTACAGAATTTAAATTCTGACTCTATATGCATACTCCACTATCTTTTTTATTTTAAAACATCCACATATTTTACAAACCAACCACATTTTCTTGTCATAAGGAGGAACTATATGTGGAGAGGATTCTGGTGCCTAAACCCACAGAAACAATTTGGAGGAAACAGTTTTCTAGAGATTAGAAATTCTAGTTGCCCCATCCAGGAAGGGTCTCAGGGCCTCTCCTTTTTACATGAGGGTCCACCCCACTGGGCTAGTGCATCTTCTACAATTTCAAAAGCTCTGGCATTTACACACCTCTTTTTCCACAGACAAATCACTAGGATTAAATTTTATTGTTGGTTGACAGAAAGAATAGAATCCCAAACCACCAGTCCATGTATAATTGTTCATTTCCCCCACTTTTCCTACATAATGCTAGTAGGCCACAAGTTCTTACATTTTATTTTAAGCTAAAGATCACACTGGAGAGGCATCTGAAGACTTTTAACAAGAAGACCTGGCTAACGGTTCACCTACTGAGCCTCGGGGTTGGAGGCTGCCTTCTGACCATCTGGACCATGGGGATCCCCGAGTGGTTTTCTTCTCTGAAGGGCGGCAGGTTTGTCCGGGTCTCGGGAAAGAGAAGGTACAGCCTGCCAGGGTATTCTGGTGGTAAGCAGAGATCACTCCGAAAGATCATCCCACCGAACTGCTTCCACGGATGCATGCTCTTAACTTAGAATAAGCAAGAGATATGCACAATTTTAAAACGACTCAGGGCAAACCAAGCCATTCAGCAAACGGAGACAGTTTCCGTTGTGCCACTCTAAATAAAACAGAATCCAGGAAATTCACCAAGAGCCAAATAAGCCACCTCCATCTACTTCTGTCTATACTTGCAGCTAGGAATGAATAAGACGAAGGTGGGAGGGAACCTCCCCGCGGCCCAGCCCGGCGCTTTCCTCGTCTGTTCCCCTAGTCGGTCCCCCTCAGGATTGCTGGTTCCCACCCCGCCGCGGTCTACATCCTTTAACTCAGAATTCCATGGGTCTGTGGTGTTCTAAAGGTTACAGTCACTAAGGTTAGAGAACTTTGAAAGAGATAACGCTGCTTTCATAGCCAACGGGCCGGGAGATACCACAAAACCCTTAGGCTCAAGTGCGCAGCACGAGCTCCGGGACGCAGAACGGCAGCACCCGGCTTCTCTGGCGCTCCAGAGACCAGGACGCGAGACCGGAGCGCAGCCCCTGGGTCCTCAGGGTCTCGTCACCGGCCCTCGGCGCCCGCGAGAAACACGCCCCGCGAGGCCGAAGCCGCGCGACGGAATGGGGCCGGGAAGGCAGGCGCGGGAAGCCACGTCTGGTAGTTGGCCTGGGTCTGGCCGCTCTTCGGGGTGGGGGTCGGGGACAGATCCAGACCCCGCGGCCCCTGGTGGCCCAGCCAGGCGAGGTCGGCGGGACTCGGGATCCACGGCGCGCCCGCTCGCGCTGCTCTTTGTGAGCTCGCATCCTCCCAACTCAGCCACTGGACGCGCTCCGAGACGCGGCCCCTGTGGGGAACTCAGCCCCAGCTGTGCGCTTTTAGGGCGCCCGGGAGCCGAGGACCCGGACAGGAGACTGGGGGTCGGGGACACACTCACCTTCCTGCCGCCGCCCGCGGCCAACACGGAGCCGCCCCCCGAGTACATGTAGTAGGCGATGCCCAGCACCCAGAGCAGTGCGAAGCACAGCAGCACGCGCGAGCGCCGCCGCATCCTCCCGCGGGCCTGGGGCGCGGGGATGGCCGGGGACTGAGCTCGGGGACCGGCACGAGCGGGCGGGGGCGGCGGCGCTCAGCGCCCGGCAGGAAGCGCGGCCCCGGCGGCGGGGTCAGGGAGCAAAGGGCGGCCAATCGGCGTGGGGGGCGGGGCCTGCCAGGGGCGGGACCGTGTCCCCATGGCGGCGGAGCCCCGCCCCCTGCTCGCTGCCTGGCCCGTGAGTGACAGGTGGCTGCCCTCCCGGGAGGCGCAAAGCTCGAGCAATCCCTTCTTGGTCCCTGCCGCGTGGCAGTCCCTGCGGTTCCCGTGCTCATCTTGCAGCAGACATCTCTGGTCCCCAGGTGTCAATTTCATTTATTTTTTTAGGCAAATGTGGGGACTTTGAGGTGGAAACTGAGAAGATAATTTTCGAAGGAACGTGCTTTTTGGGGATGAACAGAGCTCCTAATAGCTAGGTGGTGGTTATGTTAAGCAAACATGAAAAGAGGAAGAAGGGAGGCAAAATATATTTTTAAGCTTTTCTTTTTCATTGGTTGGTTATGTGAAAGAAGAGTGGAATCGCACACTAAGCATCTCTAAAGATACAAGAAATAGCTCTCTGGTAACAGCATCAAGGTAATCTTGGCGATACCCTTGTAACTGCAAAGTTCACTGTGTTTCTGAGAAAGAAAGAGGTGTTACAAGTGTTTCAGGAGCTTCTGAGTCTGGAGAGTGATGGCTGCTGCCAGTGTGGGAATCTATCCACATCCCTAGCCAAACAAGCTCAAGATAGAAGTGAGAATCTGTAGCCTCAGCTTCAAATTATGAGGGAAGAAAAGATATCAAATTCCAAAAGACCTTCCTCCATGACTACCATGGATTTAGGAGAAGCACAGGCTTGTCACATCTATACCGAGAAGGTCTAACACCAACCACTAAATATGGAATACAGGTTCCAAACTATTCATCAAGGGAAGAGATTTGGGGGGAATAAACAAGACAAGAAGTGACAGCCTGGAAAACTCCTTGCTTCTTCGGAAAAGTCAGATTTTTTTTAAAAAAAGGTAATGTCCTTTAGAGGCTGATGATGACAGGATAGAAGTATGTCAGAAGGAAAAATTGAACTGAAGACATCCAGTCCTCCCCCAGCCACCAACATTATCTATTAAAAACTATACATCATGTCACACACAGAAGACTCTTAGAAACTCTGCCTCAAATAGGCCCTAGTAAGGGAAAACCATCATATCTATTAAAAAAAAAAAAAACCTACTGCAAAAAGGAAACGGGAAACTAATCAAATTTCTGATAATGAGAAAAAGAATTTCAGCTAATAACACCCCCCAAAAAACATGAAGCAGAAGGAAATTGTAATACCATGTACCAAACTGAACAAAGTGCCAGGTGTTTGGACACACACATATATATACAGGAGTTTAAAAACTAAGAACAAACTAGACAAAAGTTAGAAAGCAGTGCAATGAGTGTTGATCAAATTCAAGAAAGAAATTGAAAATAGAGACAAAAACTACCCCAGATACAAAGAATAATTATGAGGCATCTGAAGGAAAATTCAAAATGAAAATATGTAAAAGGGCTTTGAAGAGTGACAAGAACACAATTAAAAATAAGATAAGTAAAAAGGCCAGGGGTAGGAGGATGAAGCAGGAGGATTGCAATTTCAAGCCCAGCCTAAGCTACTTAGTGACTTAAGAGACCCTGACTCAAAATAAAAAACTTTAAAAGGGCTGGGAATGCTGCTCAGTGTGAAGGGCTTGAGTTCATTCCCAAGTACCACGGGGAGGAAAAAACTTAGGCTAGCAACAGAATTTTTTTTTTTTTTTTAGACAAGGTCTTTCTACATAGTTCAGGCTGGCCTCCAACTCACGACAGTCCTCCTGCCTCAGCCTCCCAAATTCTGGGATTACAGGCATTCGCCACCACACCCAGACATCAGATTTCTTAACAGCAATATAAAAAGCAGGACAACAACGTTGTCACATTCATAAGGAACTCAAAGAAAGAAAGTACCACCCAAGAACTTTTATATCAAGCCTCCAAGCACGGAGGATATAGGCAAAAAGATGTGATCTGAATGCATAAATTCAGAGACCTTACACATGGGTCTTTCCTGAGGAATCGCAGAGAAAAGTACTTCTTCCAACTAAGAGACAGCAGGGGAAAGCAGCAGAATGACTGATGAGGAGCACTTTGTATATTCAATGTTGGAAGATACTATAGCAGCTCTTCAAAAAATTAAAAGTAGAATTACCATGTGATCCAGCAAGTCCACTGCTTGAATGTGCATCTGAAAGAACTGAAGACAGGCAATCAAACAAATATTTGTACACCCATCTTCACAGAAGCATTTTCCACAACAGATGATGAATAAACAAAATGTGGCATAGTCATACAATGGAACATTATTCACCCTTAAAATGAGGGAAATTTTGACAGATATTACAGTATGGATGAAACCTGAGAACTTACAGTAAGCAAAGTAAGCCAGACAAAAAGGGGACAACACTGTGATTTCACTTCATGACATTCCTAGAGTAGTCAAAATCATAGGGACAGAAATGCAGTTCCTGAGAAGGAGCAAGGGTTGGGCAATTGGTGTTTAATGAGAGCAGAATGTCAGAGTGGGAAGATGGCAAAATTCTGGAGGTAGACTGTGGTGATGGCTGTAGAACAATGTGAATGTGCTTAATGATGCACAAATGTACACTTAAAAGTGATTGAAATATTAAATTTTTGTTATATACATTTTGTCACATTAAAAAAAACTCAAATGATAAATTGGAAGAAATATCCATACTCATGAATAAAGACGTAATATCCTTGATATATAAAGAACTTAAACACTAAGGGAAAAAATTTAAATCACATAAAATGGACAAAACCATAAACAGACAATTCACAGTAGAAATCTAAAATGAGTCCATAGCATATGAAGAGATGTAGACCTCACTCGGTTTCAAATTAAAACTACAGAGATACTATTTATCATCACAACAAATTGGCAAAAAATCAAAAGCTTGATGAACAAATCTGTTGCCAAGACTATAAAACAGAATAAGGCAGATTTCTGTGCACAGATATGGAGTGATTTCCTGGATATGTTATGAAATGAAAAAAGCAAGTGTCATGCAGCATATATCATATGCTACTTTTTATAGGAGAGAAAAGGAAAATAAGAAAACATAAATATGTCTTCTTGTTTTAGCAAAACACACGCTAATGGTAAACCAGAAAGCAATAAACCAACAAGGGTAGAAGGAAAAGGTAGAAGGGATAGGAGAAGGAGTAACTCCTCTGACCACACCATTTTTCTTGGTTTAATACAAACATGATAATGTTTTACATATTCAAAAAGCAAAATAAAAGCAACCTAGATGAGAAAGGGGAATAAAATGGAATCCAAAGAGAAATATCTGAACCTAAATATGTTACAAATGAATAAAAGAGGGATAAGAGAACTAATATCTGTAACTTTTAAATAAAGTACTTCTGGCCAGCATGGTGTTGCACATCAGTAATCCCAGCACTCTGGGAGGCTGAGGCAGGAGGATCACAAGTACAAGTACCTGGGCAACTTAGCAACTGAGGATCTATCTCAAAATTTAAAAATTAAAAAATAAATAAAAACCTGGAGATGTAGCTCAGCCCAAAGGCCCTGAGTTCTACATATGTACAGTTTAGAGAATGAAAGAGTGGCAAAGAATTTTTGAACTCTTCTTTATGTTTTTAATGTAGTGTCATGGACATAACAAACCATTTTATGTAGCATGTGATTGAACAAATCAGAAATGTATTGTTTTGGGCAAGTAGGTTTTCCAGGTGGGAGAAGAGAGATATGATATGGAACAGGGAATGCAAGACAGATTTCCATAGATTAGATTTGGAACTAGAAGTAATACTATGAACTCATCTCTCACACACATGTGTACTCACATATATGTGCACTTACAAACATATGTACACACACATACTGTTTCCTAGCTCTAGCCACCAAAAAAGCCCAGCAAGACACCCACAACACCAAGTAGGCCTTGAACTGAGATATTGGCCTAGTTTCCAGATATTACTCCGTGTTCTGTATTCCTTGGGGGAAATAAAGGATTCCACATCTGGGGCCTAGTAGGTACTATGTGAGCCCAGAACATCTTATTATAATGGATGGTAAAGATGGGCAGAAAGAGAGAGAAAATGAGAGCGAGTGTGTGTAGCATTAGACACAGGAGTCAAACTGAAACATCCCTCACCTGGGCTAAATCTAGGGCAATAAATGCCTCAAAATAAACACTGAAGCCAGGCATGGTAATCTCAGCGCTGTGATCCCAGCACTCATAAAGGTGATTCGAGGCCAGCCTGAACTACCTAGAGAGATCCTGTCTCAAAAAAACAAACAAAAAAAATAAAATAAATAAAAAACAAAATAAACATTGAATAAAAGAGGAATCTATGACTGCATCCTGATAATAAGTAAATAATAAAAGGGATCTTTCTTTCTATGAATGCCAATAGACAAAAATGGAGAGAAGGGTGAATCAGCTTTTTGCAGAAAGCCACAGTAGAGATTGATCTGGAGGTGCCTCATCAATGACACTAAAGTGGTGGGGGGTTGCTGAGAAGTGTACTTATGTGGTCTTCCAACTGGTTTCAACAGAATATTTATTAGTTGCTGGGGAAATTAGTAACTACTGGAGAAATGACAACCTGTGTCCAGACTTTCAAAAACTGATATCACTGGGCTGGAGATTTGGCTCAGTGGGGCCCACGCCTGCCTCACAAGCACAAGGTCCTGAGTTTGATCTCCAGTACCAAAAAAACCCCAAAAAAACTGATATCACTTGTGAGGGGCAGCTGGACAGGACATGGCCACACAGTTTTAGTGCTTTGCCCAAGGATATGAAACCTGAATTCCGTCATGAATGACCATGGGAATAAACAAAGTCAAAGAACATCATGTTAAATAACTGGTGTGTGTCCTTCAGAAGTTTCACTGTTATTGGGGCCAGGGATTTAGCTCAGTGGTTCCGCCGCCAGCCTTGCAAGTGCAAGGACCCAAGTTTGATCCCCGGTACCAAAAAAATAAAAAATAA